TTAGAAGCAAAATTTATGCGTGAAAAGATCTTCAACTCAACTTTCAGATATATCGATGACATATTGTCAATTAACAATGGTTATTTCCACTCCTACATGAAGACTTATTTGTATCAACTCGAGGTCAATATATATAAAGATCAGGTCAATATCTGGAAACTTGTACAATATTAGGCATTCTGACTGTAGAGACAGGAGAACACTAGAAGGATATTCGGACAAAGAAATGAATGGACAGATAAAAATAAGTTTCCAACCGTTTTATACCCTGTGATCTAAACAGTCCTATTGGGTTAATTTACTTACTTACATAAATTAAGATATCCTTGAAAAATAGATTAAACCTTTGCAGCGAACTGCAAGAAATATTTCAACACCGAGATAGAAGTAGACCTATAATAAAATTGAACATTATTTTAATATTCGCGCTAAGCTTCAAAATCCATGACGATTTTCTAGACAATAAAATATTGACCGAGAAACAATTCATAAATAGTTATGATGAATCGGATTTCTTTAACTTCGAAAGCGTCTACATTTTGACTGATACCCTTTAGGAAAGTTAAAACGCCATCTTTTTTGTAAAGAAATTACAGTAACATTCATTCAATAAATTTTATACTTGTGCAATGGATCATTAAGATGAGACAACAAATTAAAGACTTTATATTCATAATTAATTTCGATTCTTAAAACATTGCATAAAAAGAATACATTACAGGAAAAAGGCAATTTTTGTGATTTGATTTTCTCCATAAAGTACGGAAGTCCAATAGTGCAAACCAAAAATATATAAAGAAAAACGAAATTAATATATAAAGAGAAACGAAATTATTAAATAAAGAAAAAAACGAAATTTATATATAAAGAGAAACGAAATTATTAAATAAAGAAAAACGAAATTAATATATAAAGAGAAACGAAATTATTAAATAAAGAAAAACGAAATTATTAAAAAAAAGAAAAACGGAATTATAAAAAAAAGAAAAAAGAAATGATTTAATAAAAAGGAGAGTGAGGGAGAAAGAGAAAATATCAACTGAAACAAATACTTCAATCTAATGTTTGAAGTAAATTGTCAATAATTGTTTAACGGTATACTTAATTTGTTGATGTGTGGCATTATGCATAGAGGATCAAGAGGGTGGCTGTTTCTGCTTGATTAAAATTAATGACATCCAATTCAAAGAGCGCTTGAATCGCTGAAAGGTCAAGACCCTGCGTATCGTATTATAAAATTCCCTCTGAGATAAGCCTAGCGCCCCATCTATATATTCATAAATAACGGGTTGTTGAAACAATAACGAGGATGATTTGATTGTGCATATAGGCAACACCCATCAGCAACGCAATACCCGACACACTGCTGTGATTTTTCTTATTTCTCTTTCATTTTGACATCGTTTTGAATAAGTTGTTGCTTATCAACATTAATGTTTTCTCAGCAGTGTGTTTCGGTGGTTTTATATCGTATTGATGTATTAAAAATCTAAATCACGGCCCCACCTTCATCAGGGATCCGGCCGTAATTTTTATTGAGGCAAAATAGCATTTGTTAGCAAATCACCAATACTTTTATGCTTAGCATATGCAATCATTGGTTTTGTTTGATTTGCTTTATTTCTAATTTAGTAAACAATTATTAAAATCTACTTCTTGTAACCACTTTGACTCGTTTTACTTTTTGCACCTGTTCTCTTTAAACAATTTTTTAATATGTCAAACAAACCCAAGTCCGATCGATAACGTATTATTTTACACCTTTTTTTTAATGAATGTATTGTGCGATAGTTGAATAATGGATAAGGGAATTTCCTGAATGTTAAAAATTCAACAATACGAGTTGTAAACTACGGAATCTTAACGTTCATGTTTTCTTAAATAGTTGTGCAATTAGATATCAAAGGTTAAATTCGTCCAATCCATGTATTGTAATGGATACGTTTTCGATTAAGGAAAAGGTGAATATAAAGGCAAACATCACACTTGTTTATTGTCGAAACAAAATCAGGTCTATCAGACGCGGTGCACTAATGATTTATGGGTTCAGACCCTTACCGTGCACCTCTATAAATTCCGTATTTTTGTTTCAGTTTTTCTACTTTTAATAATTTCGTTTCTCTTTATATATTAATTTCGTTTCTCTTTAAATATTAATTTCGTTTTTCTTTATTTAATAATTTAGTTTCTCTTTATATATTAATTTCGTTTCTCTTTAAATATTAATTTCGTTTTTCTTTATTTAATAATTTCGTCTCTCTTTATATATTAATTTCGTTTTTCTTTATTTCATAAATTTGTTTCTCTTAATATATTAATTTCGTTTTCCTTTATTTAATAATTTCGTTTCTCTTTATATATTAATTTCGTTTTTTCTTTATTTAATAATTTCGTATGCGTTTCTCTTTATATATTAATTTTGTTTTTCTTTATATATTTTTGGTTTGCACTATTGGGCTTCCGTAATAAAATACCCACTAGTTCTGCAACACAAATTGTCAAATATATGAAAGTATTTGATAATGTTATGAGTATTATTTCTTCGAGAATATGTGGAAAATACCGTATAAGTGGAAATTTTAGCGAGACGCAAATTTAGCAATTTCTCCTTTAAGATTGGTATTCTATTTTTAGCGAGAAGCAATTTTAGCGATTTAGAATTCTCATTAAAGAAGCAAGTGCAAATAACACGCCCTTTAATTTAAGCGATATTCCTTTTTAAGCGATCTCAACAGCCCCGCTAATAATGCCAAAATGAAATCCTCGCTGTCTACTTATAAGTATGTAACCTAGTAAATAAATTTGCCGAGAAAAAAATATTTTTGAAAAACAATTATTGACAAGCAAGTTGATGAAACAAGAATATCAGCGGTCTCGTTTGAAGTCATCATTTCGTAAATTCTATGGTCGATACAATGACCTTGTCAGCAAATACAATTTATCATTGAATGAAATGCTGACTGACGTTTTTCATACCAATTGTTAGTCCATTATTTATACACTGAATTGACCACGGATTTTTTCCGTTATATCCTGATTATGACAACGAGCACACGGCGGGTGTGACCGGTCAGCAGGGGATGCTCACTCCTCCATGGCACCTGATCCCACCTCTGATGTTTCGGAGGTCCGTGTTTGCTCTGCTCTTATTTTATATTTTTGTTTAATGGACGTTGAGATTGAATACTGTTTGTTATTTCCATATCCTTCTTACAGATAAACTCTTAATACTTAGAAGGTATAGCAAACACTTTTAAATATTGCGCGCGAAATTTGAAGGAAAATTAGAATGTGTGAGGACCCAGCAGTGCGTCCTAGGTTCACGTAAACTGTCTCTGTGTTAGCAATGACTTAAGTAAATGTTTGCATTTATAAGACTGAGTAAAGAACACGGTAGGAACACTAAAGCTACATGGGAGAATGCAGTAATGTGACTTTGGATGATGAAAACTATCAGTTTTAGAATTCTCATTGTGGAATATGCACATATAAATTCATGTAACTACGTATAGCACATCCTTTGATATCGATATTTTCAGTTACGCCGGTTCCATCAAGCCCCGATCTTACGACATTTTCGACCCTGCATAGCAACTGTATAATGCACAGAAGGTGAGAGGATAAAGTAGAATGAATTCTAATTCAGAAGATTAACTTAGCATTAGAACTTTTACTTACATTGGTGGTTATTTAAAGAACTCATCCTGGGCAAGGCACTAGAAAATAGAACTGTGTTGAATCTAGAATATGTGTTAATGACTTGTAAATGTTCCAATATCTAATGGTTAAAAAACACTCAAATGACCAAAGATACCAGCTACAGAAATCTGAAACCTCTTGGAATGTTTTGTGTCTTTAACCAGATAGAAACACTGTTAATAAAAATTATATACTATAAATTTACTTATATATACATTAATATATTTCATGATAAATTTCTTTCTTTTTCTTTGAAATATTAAAAATCAAAGAACAAATGTTTAAACAAAAAACACGAGGAGTACAATGATTTTTAATTAAATTATTTACTATGCACAAACTATCAAGTAAAAAGTATTTAACACCAATTTATTTTTTATTTTAAGTTCTAATCAAATATTTAAACAAAATTAATTGATAAATTAAATCATTTACTATACATTTTTTTTTTCAAGAACATTAATCTAAATGTATACAATAAAACATTTGTATTTAGCCGTTTTTTATAGTATGGAATTCGTAATAATAACCCATAGTATAGAAGGATCCATTTAAAAACACGCATATTCGTCAAAGTTAAATGTATTTTACACCAATTTATTTATTTTAATTCCTAATTAAATATCTAATCAAATCACCTTCCAGCAGTCGATTGTCCACAAGGTAATTTTCTATTCTGTGAAAAGTTGAAAAAGGATGCGTGTCTTTCATTGTGTTGTTCCGGAAGAAATTGTAAACATTATCATCATGAATATTCATGTTTATGACGCCAGGTGACCTTGAGGCCTACCCATAGTAAAATTCCTCATGTGTGTAATTTAAAACGAAACTACTTGAAAATAGGATTTCCTTCGTTCAAAGAGAAAGGGTGGATATATTTGTTGTATATGCCCGATCGGAATCGAGTGATGACTAAGAGTTAAAGTAAGCAATGGCAAATAGCCCTTTTTAATTTACCTTAAAGTCTGAAATTCTGTTGTTGATATCTAAAAGGCATGGAAGGAAGTTAAAAGGTAAATAACTCTAGTCAGGTACTCCTATTTGTTAGTGTGTAAATATTTTAAAAAATAAAATAAGCAGTTTAACGTATAAGAACACATATTTTTAAGGTTCAAAATCACAAAATTAAGGAATCTATATTATGTACATGTAAGATCAACTTTGTTAAGATTGTACAATGTTTATGGGGACAAAAAAGAATACGAACGTTACGTTAGTTATCAAATTCAGTGATTTTTATCAAGGGTTTGTTTAAATCAGACTGCTGTACTTGACTTTTAAAAGAACGTTATATGCGTTACCAGGAGGTAAACATGACATTTAACAGATATAGACACATAATACTTATTATTTTACTGTAATGTGTACTATCGATATTCCACTAAGGGAGGGGGGCATAAATACCAAAATTCAAAATTTACTTTGATTCAAGGTTTTAAAAGTATCTTTATTTTCAAATCAAATGAACTGCTCATACCCTTTTTATTGAGGAGTGCGTTTAATAAAAAAACAGCAATGAATATACCAATAAAATAATAAGGCCACATATGTTAAATTTTAAGAAGTAGAAGAAAACCCTTTTTTCAAGGAAATCTGACGAGAGAGAGAGACACACACACACAGAGGGAGAGAAACAGAGAGAGAGAGTATCATGCATGTCATACATTTATATGGCAATTAAACAAGAAGTTCAAAGTTTCATTTTTTTCCTCCTAGCGTTATTTGTTTAATTAGAGTGACTTAAAACGCTTTTCTTGCTGTTTACATACATGTGTATAGAATGTGTAAAACCTTAAATCACTTTGCATCACACATTGTGCACATATTTGTTTTAGTAATTTAGTTTATTTCTAATGGCGTAAATTCTATTTAAAGGTTGATTTATCATTTCATCGGTTGATTTTATTAATCTTATATTTTCCTGGTGTTTTCTCAGGTAGGCCGCTGCCCAGAAGTTTCATTAAATAATGCAATATGTTGTTTAAAAAATGTATCATTTTCTGTATGTTTCAATATTTACTGTTTCAACGAATAGATGTAATATTGAAAAAACTTTTTGATGCGGTGGGTCGTGAACAGTTAGGTAAAATGAATAAGATCTTTTAAAAATTGCCTCAAAAGAATGTCATCTGGGTGTATGATTTATTCATCAACTCATTGTCTGCATTGTATTCCCTCGCAAAAGGCTCGAAAATATTAAGCAAAGGCCTAGTGTATTTCGTTCTATAAAACAAAAAGATTAATGGATGGGCATACAACATATTAATGAAACTTAAAAGAAAAGGGAATCCGAAATTAGATAACAATTTTCAGGACATGCATGTGTTTTAAGGACAGATGATACAAACAAACTGTTAACAAAGACTTTGAAAATAACAACTTGGGGCATGTTTAAATTAGTAAAATAAATAACTTTTACCGCTTAGTTTTTAATATTTTATTTAAAATAGCACAAAAATGGAATTTGAAGTGAAAAATATTAGTATAGATTGATAAGGATGGTTTCAGAAGGACAGACTTTTGAGCATCACAGAAGGTTTACAATTTTTTTATATTCTAGAAATTTATTATTTTCCTCATTTGCAATGAAATTAGGCCAAAAAATATGTACCAATCCAGGCATTCATTTTTTGTTTGTATCATCTGTCCTTAACTAAAAGAGTATAAGTTTGTGAAATTATTAAAATAAATCATTGAAAAGCATTTTTGTTTCCTTCCGAGCACAGAGGACATTAATTAAGAAATAAAGTCCGCGTTTTCGTGAATGTTGCAGAATAACCTCCGAGGTCGAGAAATGTTGTTTGAAATTAAATATATCAGCCGAGGCGTTAGCCGAGGCCTTTATATTTCAAACAACATTTCGAGACCGAGGAGGTTATTCTGCATCATTAACGACAACAAGGACTTCATTTCTATTCTACCAAGGGCGATAAACACAGTCGATTGTTTCCTCTATAGAGAAACGAATTAGGTCACCATGTCTCCAGAGGGAAAATTTGTTTGCTTACCTTTGTATGGAATGCAGACGATTTGAGCTTACGTTGCCTTAAAAATAGCCTTCATAAATTACAAATTTGTTCGTTATATGTATTGATTTATTTTAATAAATATACAATAACAAAATCATGATCTTATTTTACTGCTAAAATCACATTGTTTAATGTGTAGGGAGGTCCGTGGAATAGCCCCGCTTAGCTATCAAAACCGACATTCATCAGCAACTTGATGCAATTTACAGTGTTTTTACTGCAAAAGACGACACATCGATGCGGTCTAAACAAGTATTTTATTCTACAGCCAAACATGCATTTGAATTTTTCAGATTTAGTACGTGTTTCTGATCTGATAATTTTTTGATGACGTTCATGATTTATTGGAGAATAATGTCCGGCGGCTTCCTTTGAAGTTTTCAATTACCGTGGTAGAATTATTGAATATCCCCCGTAAACTTTTTATGTGAACATTTTGTCTTTAGCAGAAAATGTAAAATCAATTGGTAGCGGAATCTGTTGGGTATTATATATGACCTGTTCTTGTGAGGTTCCATGTGCCTCGTTACAATAAGGTTGTAGATATGTAAAAATGGCAGTTTCTTAAATCCAAACATAATTTTTCTTCATATTTCTTAAGAAATCTCAATCTAACATTATTGATCAAGATTGATAAAATTGATTATTTAGGAAATGAACGTGGAGTTAAAACCAGTGACGTCATGTCCTACAAACGCCAGTTCGTGGCTTAACAATGGCATTAAGTTACAGTGTCCTAATGATACACTAGGAAGGAACCTGTACCAGTGTGTACCTAATGATGAAAGATCTTCACTTGTGGAATTTTGTCTTCAAGGGAGTATTGGCAGATATGGAGCAAGTAAGTCAGCTTATTCTTCTTGAATATAAGTAAACAATATTGTAATTTGATTTTTATTCTGCTCCTGTAAATGTATTAATTTACAAAAATATGATTTATTTAATTTAAAGATTTGTGCCCTTTTGCTGTATCCACTGGACACCTGGACGCTCTCAACTGCTCAACGTTTCTCAGTGGTTGTCCAGAAGAATCCTACAATACAAATGAAGTGTATAAATGTAATTATAAGCATTTTGTTGCATATAAAATATAACTGAAAAAAATATTTTAATCGCATTGCCTTAATATTCCGTTGAATCAACGTTTCAGATCACGCCTGCTTAGAAATAAATCCAGAGGAAAAATGCTATTTTGCAAATGAAAACTGTCCAAATTATTCAATGTAAGGCACTTTTACTTTTTATGCTATATTGTTAATCAGCCTTTAAAATATTTTACTAACTGTAATTATCGGACTCTAAAAAAGAAACTCTTCCCTCAAAATCAAATTAATTTTCAGGTCAATTTCACAAAACACTACCTATGTATTTCAACCGGAGGATGATAATACAGCAATTATTGCTGGTGTTGTTTCCACTTTCATCATAGCTCTGCTTGTTCTCGTAGTTTTATATCTCATTTACCGTAGACGCCGAAGGCACCGTCGACGTAAAGAGAAAAGAGGTAAGTAAAATGCATTGCTCTTTTATGTCGGTCCACAAGGATAATTTATACTCTACCAAATAATGAGCTTTTTTATTATGCACAAGAATTGGATTAAGATCGTGACAGTTTTGTTTTTTTTAAACTACATTAATTATGCAATTATCGGTGTACAAATCTTTGAAAATTAACAACTTGATTAACCTTTTCGAACAACAAAATAATCTTTTTTTAGATTACCTTTTCCCATGCACCTTCAAAATATAAGGGAAAAGGTCTGACCAAAATTACTTACAGCGTGTGACGATATCATTAGAATTTATTAACTCGGCTTATACATTTACAACCACTGAGTACTTTCTCTTTTATTTTTTAAGAGAACCCATTGCCGTTAATCGGTGCATGAACAATGCTAAGCGACCAACGTGCGAAGATTTCTAGAACAATTGTAATTCCATCCGTTTTGAATACAATTATATATTCATCTTAAATGCTATATTTAAAGAAATTTAATCTTATTTTGAATGATTTTTAATATAGATGTAAATATTAACAATAAAATGCTTTCTTTGTTCGTAAGTACGGGAATTAACGTCGCAGCTATTGCAGAAACAATTACATAACTACATAACCTGCTTACGCATTGTATCTTTTATCGGCAACTCCTCTCATACCACTGAATGAAATTTGATGAATTTATTACAGATTCTTTATTACATGTTGCCATTGTACACGTCTTATTTTACTTTTTGAATCGACACATAATTTGGATTTCCCACAGCAAAACAAGGACACTGCCATTATATTCATATGATAGGTGGGGGTATCATTTAATTAGTGAGTTCATTGCTCAAAGTACATCTAGTTTGAGACTTCCTTATGACTTCTTTGTGTATATCGCTTCGAAATCCTTAGGATGCCTTAACTCAACTTTTGAAGGAAAATGATTTATTTTAATTTAAAGAGACATTTAAAAGTTCTTTTTGTATTGAAAAAAAGCAATGAAACAAAATACTTTTGTTTCAATTTTATCAAGACATTTTGAATTAATTTCTCTTAAAAGGAATATAGAGACCCTTTGAATATCTAAAATGAAACAAATGAATGCAAATTTGAATTCAAACCGCCTTCGAGAACTAAACAGATATTATCAATAAGAAACTCGGGAATCTTTTTAAATCAACTTCAGAATTATTGCATGTAAAAGTGGTTACGTATTATCATCTTTTAAGTAATAATTCAGAAAGTGTTGAAAAGACATGGCATATTTTGATGGTCAGTATTTACGTGATTAGTATTTTCATTTTCTATTATCTTTACATGATTAAAGCTTATTCTAAATGTTAGTTTTTTATCGTATTGGATACTCATCAAGTCAAATAAATTTAAAAAAAAATAAATTGTGCAGGGGTCCGATTTTTATTTATATTTCATGCAGACAACAATTACTTCGGGAGAGGATAACGTTTAAAAGTATATCGTTTATGTTCGAAAAAAAAATCCTTGAGAATTTAAGATCTTTCTTTTGCTTTTGAAAACTTATCCACAAGATCTTCACTAGACTACTTTTTGCTTTTAATAGAATCATGCTTTAACCGCCAAAACAAGTCTTATTATAAAACTATAAAACATATAGCGATTCTTCTTTACGATATTTGGTGTGGGTGGTTCTACCATTTTTACACTGACTGAACATGCAAGTTGTTTATCCTTTTGAAACAAAGTCAATGATATATTTAGACCGTAATAATATACCTGATACCATTGTTTTCATCCTTGATTTAGCAAACGAATCTCATTGTGATTGTGATTGCTGAATAATCGCGCTGATTAATATTAATCAATTTTATAGTTATAAATATAAGACGTAATATGAATACAAAATATGAACATCCACTATTCTGAGTTTCTTCGTAAACATTACCTGTAATTACTATTCAGCAGCTTTTACTCTATTATCTCACCTTCACAAGGTCGAGATGAACGTATGCTATACCATCGGCGTCAGAGTCGATGTCGGCGTCCTGGTTAAAGTTTAAGGAGCAGGTCCATTCCCAAGTAACTATAAACCCTAAGGCTACCTGGATCAAACTTGCATGATGATGCATCTATGAATAAGGCACTACCAGACTTGATTTGGATGCTGAATTTGACCTATATTCTCCAAATGAGTGACAAGGTTAAAGTTTTAAGAGCAGGTCTATTCCCAAGTAATTTTAAGCCCTATCTAGACTAAATTTTTGGAGCAAGTCCATTTCCAAGTAACTTTAAGTTCTACCTGGACCAAACTTGCATGGGTGATGCATCTAGAGATGGACACCACCAGACTTGCTTCGGATACTGGACCTGGCCTACACTTTTCAGATAAGCCCTACCTGGACTAAACTTGCATGGAGGATGCATCTAGGGATGGATACTACTGGACTTGCTCCGGATGCTGGATTTGACCTTCATTTTCTAGATAAGTGACTAGGTTATTCCATATAAACTCTGGTAATATAAGCCTTACCTGGACCAATCTTGCATGCATGATGCATCTAAGGATGGCCTATCGAAACTTGTATCAGATGATGTATCTGACCTACATTTTCTAGACAAGGTTAAAGTTTTTTAGAACAGGTCCATTGCCAAGAAACCATCAGCCTCGATCTACCCAGACTAAGCTTGCATGGATGATGCATGTAGGGATGGACACCAGCAGACTTGTTTCAGATACTGGATCTGACCTAGTTTTTGGCATAGGTCAATCCCAAATTAACTTTAAGACTTATTTAAATAGAACATGGTTGAATATTACTGTTAAGAAAATATGATGAAAGATTTGCATTACTTTAACTGATAACATTCGACGAGGTGAGCTTCGTAATCTTTGATTACCTATGTTTTATAATAATTTCAGGGAGTGAAGAAGAAGAAAGAGTCCCTTTGTTTACTATAGGTAAGAATTAATAGATGAAATATTAAGATAGAAACCATTTTTGTTTTCCTTCTTTCGAACGTTTTGTTAAAGATATATATGACGATAACCTTAATCAGCTTTTAACTTACCATATTGAAATTGAAATTGATTTGAATTAAAGAAAAGACCATAAACTATTTTAGATATAAAGCAGATTTTATCTTTAATATTATAGTTTTTTTTCTCCCGAGATAGCTGGCTAAATGACTACATAATTAGTTTTCCACCAATGGGGAAACCTCACCATACAGCAGATTTTCCGCCACATTAGGGCTTTATGTTAAGATTTTTACCAAGAGACCAATAAAATATATCCCTCAACTGAGCACACATAGTAGAAAAAAAGCACAGATCTGTTCGGTATTGAACAGATGTAGGGAGGGGGTGACACACTTACATTTACACTTCCTCGGGGCTTTTATCTTGTAAAGAAGAAGACTTTGAACATATTTTTGCAAACTCCATTGTGAAACTTTAATCCTCTTTTGTGGCCTGGCCTTACCTCCAGAGATTACTATATTAACCACTTTTGTAACTAAAGGTTGTAATGAAGTTTTTACATAGGTTTTATTTCTCCATTGCGATTCTTTTTAAGAGATTTTTTTAAAAGATGTCACTAAGTTCTCACGAATTTTTAATTATCTCCCCTTAAAAGATAATATGTCACTACCTGTAAACATTCTATATTTCGCTTAACATATACTCAAGGATTCTCTTTGATACATGTAAATTTGGTTGAAATTATACTTGGTCTTGTGGTTTTTGAGAAGAAGTGGAAATATGACAGGTTGTGGTTTTTGAGAAGAAGTGGAAATATGACAGGTTTTTCGATAACAGACGAAAGAACGACATAGGGACGCCGAATACTCGGAAAAGAAGCTCATTGAAATTGAACCTCTGGATCAGAGGATATAAAACATGTCTGGTGAGCGTGTAGGTTCTGTTTCAATGTTTTGAACTTTATTTACATTTACATCTTTATTTTATATGAATTATATAGAAACAGTAATCAAGCTAATTGATTCAGTCAAAAGATACAGAGTTTGAGCAAAGAAAAACTGGCCTCTTATGACATCAGATACTTTATTTGTCAATAACGTTCCTTGTTTTTAGAAAGTCTTCGTGCGTAAAGCATGCTCCTGTGAGTTTTCAACTTAGAGGAATAATCTAAATAGAATTTTATAATTAGCTGTCTGCAAGTGATATCACATAAATGAGGAAAGTTGAAGAAAGAAAAATTATCACGTTTATCATTAGTCTTGTTGTTGGATTTCCATTACCGTATTTCCTATTAAAATATTCAAATATAAAACACATTTAAAAGACTCCTATTGTCTTTTATTTAGAAATGGTAGGAGAATATGGTATTTCTCAAATAAAAATGTCCAGTACAGTGAAACAATATATTTTAAACAATTAACATAAGGATTTCTTTGGGGAAAATTAATTCTATATCAATTAAACGAATATCTCTTAAACAAATACATTTTAACTACAGTAAAACTCGATTATCATGAACAGTAATAAAGCAATTCGAAGAAATAGCAAAATTCATTAAAAAGAAATAAATTACAGATAACAGAATTGATTTTGAGTCCTATTATCGTTTATCACCTACTTAAACAAAGTGATTTTTCACAGATTCATTATAATAGAATTTTATTAAGCACCTCATATATTACTCTCTCATCTGAAACATTTTGCCAGTCTACAAGAGCCAATCATTGTCGGATCGGGTTCATAAAACTTATATAGTTCCTATATTTGAACAATAACTTTTTTATTAAACAGCATTATTTTTATGCCCCCGTAAATGAAGTTAGGGGGGTATATAGTTTTTGTCGTGTCCGTCTGCCCGACCGTCTGTCTAGCTGTTTAACTGTCTGTCTGTCTGTTTGTCCGCAAAAACTTTAACCTTGCCCATAACGTGTGATTTAGTGAAGCAATGACTTTCATATTTCACACATATATTCCTTGTGTCAAAACCTTATTTTTGGGAACTAAATTTGACCTTTTGACGTTGACCTTGGAGTTTGACCCACCTACATGAAAATTTTAAATTTTTACTTGGGTCATATCTTGTGAACAGTAGATAAGAGGACATATATAATTCACATATGTAATTTTTTCTCAAAAGAGCTTTCATTGGATACCAACGATCTTGACCCTTTGACCTTGACCTTGTAGATTTCCATGCTTGTGAAAAAAATTTAACCTTTGGCATAACTTTTGAACATTAAGGAATAGGGATTTCTTATTTCATATATGTAATCCTTGTGAAAAGACCCTTCATTGCTTACCAACAACTTTTACCCTTTTACCTTGACCTTTCAGATTGACCTACTTTAAAAAAGCAGATCTGGAACATTACTTTTGAAGGGTTAGAACTAGGGCATTTATACTTTTTACACAAAAATTCCAAAATTTTTCTTTGGCCCTAATTTTTTAAATGGTACTGTTACTAGGAATTTCATGTTTCAAGTATCAATTCTTTTTGACAAGACCTTTCATTGAGATGAAAAAAAAAATGACCTTTTTACCTTGACCCTGGAGATTTCTGAACGTACGAAAAAAGACTTGAACCTTACCCATAACCAGGGATGGGGTCGATTACTTTCAAAAGTAATCGATTAAATTATAATTACTTTTGATTTAAAAAGTAATCGATTACAAGCTTATTACATACATTTTTTTTAAATTAATGAATTACATCTGATTACTTTTTCTTTATGTTATCATTATTACTTTAGATTACATTAAGTTTTTTGTTAAATGTTCAAGGACAACGGTATGTTTTATCTCTAATCTATTCTTCTTTCTTTAAATATCATTAATGTTTTTATTAGGTAATATTCAGACAAATTTTGTACTTATAACAGCTGATTTCTATCTTTAATATGAGTAAATATCTTGTGTTTTGGTTGAGAAAAATAGAAAAAAAATATTATTATTGTTTATAAATCCAACTGGACATAATTATAGTTAGTGATATAAGGATTCGATAGAGAACAGTTACACAATTAATTGACCTTCTTGATTAGTGGATGAACATTTCAATTAAGCTATCAATTATTAGATGTTTTTACAAGAATTAACACATTGACTGGAGAAGAATGGATAGTTCAATAATTGTTATTACCCAAGCTGACCTAACTTATGCATAACTGAGTTATATCACTAAATATTAACATTCGCTGTTTTTTTCTACTAAGCCAACTTTGAAATTGATTTGAAAATCATGTTCGTGTATACTCACGCGTAGAAATATACACAGAAAAACGTGCATTTCCGTGACGTCACAATAGGGCTTCAGCGACGTTAGTAAAAGTATAACAATATAGGGCAGCGAAAAATTCAAATATTGAGTATATTTTCGGTGCTTCCAAACATTTAAAATGTTAATATAAGGAATGTTTTTAAGTTTAGTGTGAAATATTGGTGTGAGAATCACACAGAATTGTATGTGGGCATATTTTTCATAAAGCGCTAGCGCACTTCATGAAATATGCCTACGTGACAAGTCTGTGTGATTCACACACCAATAACTCACACAAAACTTAAAAACATTTAAGGAATGTTTTTTAGTTTTGTGTGAGTTATTGGTGTGTGAATCACACAGACTTGTCACGTAGGCATATTTCATGAAGCGCGCTAGCGCTTCATGAAAAATATGCCTATGTGCAAGTCTGTGTGACTCAAACAGCAATAATTCACACTAAACTGAAAAAACATTCCTTATATTTACATTATACCTGTTTGGAGGGAACTAAAATATACTAAATATTTGAATTTTTCGCTGTCCTATATTATTGCATTTCACTAACGTCGCTGCAGTCTCATTGTGACGTCACGTTAACGCAAGTTTCTCCGTGTATATTTCTACGAGTGAGTATACACAATAATATTTTTCAAATTCATTTCACAGTAAGCTTACTAGAAAAACACAGCGAAAGTAAATATTCCTTAATTAATTCACATTATCTTTTTGTACATGTACATTGTAAATCAAACAAAATGATTTTTGGAACACAAATTTCAATTAAGGAACATTTAATATTAAAAAAATATATCTAAGTTAATTCAAAGACTTATAGGGAAAACAAAATGTTGCATTACACACATTTTAAAATTGGAACCCCAAAAAACTTTACTATGATCATGTAGATCGAAACTTTCTTTCAGTATATACATGTATCTAGACAAAAATGGTGAATTGCTAAGCTGCTAATTAAAAGTATTTTGAAATGGCTACTTTATATAGCTATGAAATGATAGAATTTACTCATTGCCTGGACAATGGGCCTGTTTTTAAGCATTTCTGGAAGCATTAGAAGAAGATTTCTAACTAAATATAGCATATAATTTTATAATAACTTATGCTTATAAATAAATTGATACTTTGTACACTGAAAAAAATGAACACTGAATATCATCAAAATCAAAATTTTATGAACTTTCTTTTAAGAATTGTAATCATACAGTAAACAGAAAGTAATCATGATTAGAGAAATTTTTTTCAGCGTAATCGTTTAAATAACAATTACGTGTAATCATAAAAATGGGTGATAACTGATTACTCATGATTACTGATTACAGCTGATTACGATTACCCCATCCCTGTCCATAACTAGTGAGGGATAGGACTTTCATACTTTAAATATGTCTTCCTTGTGAGAAGACCTTTCATTGGATATCAATAATTTTGACCCTTTGATCTTGACCTTGGCGTTTGACCTACTTTTTTTGACAAACTTAACCTTGGACATAACTTTTGGTAGGGGTAGAGCTTTCATGTTTCACCTATTAAATCCTTGTGACAAGAACTTTCCTTGGATATCAAAAACCTTAACATTTTGGCCTTGGTGTTTGGCCAACTTTTTACAAACATTAACATTGGCCATAAGACAGTAAGGCCTTTCATATGTTAAGAGACGAAGCCAACTTTGACCTTTTGACCTTTTGACATTGACACCTTGTCCTATTCATGAGAATTTTGACCTTGGCCATAAACCTTTAACATGTGGTGCTAAGGTTTATTTTTAACATTTGAATTTCTTGTGAAAAAGGCCTTTCTTTGGGTACCAACATATTTGATCTGTATTTGAGAAAGGTTAATCTTTCCTATGTTGCCATACGGGGGCATCAGTGTTTTGGAAACACATCTTGTTTCTTTAGCAAACTTTAGTAAATTCTAAGCGAGTCATTCGGTTTATTTGTATAATTCTCATATTAAACAAATTTAATGAGAGCCAAACTTTCGGTATATTAGTATTTGCAAACATTCGTCTTCGTTCAACTGTAACGCAATTTTTTTGCGAAATAAGGCAAAATGTTTAGTCGCGATAAAAAGCGATATCTCTGCGATACATCGCATAACTTACACGTTATGATGCGAAACTTTCGTGTTACATTATTACATCAAACTTTCCAATCTTTTTTTACCCCCAGAAAGTTATCCACTGAAATTTACCCAATAATAAGAAAAGATACCACTCTAGATGCCCTAGCAGGATCCAAATGGTTTTCCACCATTGACTTGAAAGGTGGTTATTGGCAAGTTAAGATGTCCAAAGATGACAAACCCAAAACAGCTTTTTCAATACCTGGTCTTGGCAGTTCCTGTATGTCCGCAAAATTTTTGAAATATTAATGGAAAAGGCAAAACATTTATTTCGCGATATCTCATTCGATACAACCAGCATATTATAACTTGAAACACGTTTTATGATGCAACTTTCGTGTTACATTTTTACATGCGATTTTTATGGGAAATATAACGCGTAAATTAAGCGTTATGATACGAAATCATCGCGTTTTTTTCTTCATGAAATTATATGCATGCATGTAGTTATATTACTGATTAAAATCCTTGATCTTGACTGTTAGATAATAACATGAACGCAAAAGGCAATTTATGCAAAAAGGATTTTCTAAAAAGATGTAGAGTATAAGGAGAGATTAGTCTTCAGATATATTTCTTTTTTTTTCATTTCAAAACCGTACCAATTAATAAAATGGATTTTATTTTCATGTACATGTGATGTTTTTAGTTGTGAAATTCAAGGAATTCTTTATACTGATTATTTTTACAAGAAAAGTCTGTAATCTACACTTTTCCCAAGTTGTTCTTGTTTTTTTAAATCAATAACATTCACTACACATGCCATTGAATTAGTAAATTAAGCAATTCTTCATTTTGGACAAAAATATACGCTGTAGAAAGATGACTTAACTTTGCGTTTACAATTAGCTTAACGTGTCATATGATGCCTTTTAAATGAAGAAAGGATTTCATTACATTCCAAATCAAGGAGGAGGGGTAAACTTTCTCTTTTTTTCTTCAACACTTATAAGTCCAGGATTAATTGAAAAGTGTGTGGCCTAGCAACATAAAAAAACAATTAAGGAATACAGCAAAGAGATTGTACACTTGTAAAACATCTTACTTAATGTTTTTTTATTGTAATGAGTGACCTAGAACACAAGATCATGAGAAAGTTGAGATTGATGCTTTTAGAACGCGAAAGTTGCGCCTTTCGCGTTTCTTCGCGAAATAATCGTATTAAAAGGCAAAATCTACGAGTTTATTCTCTAAAGTTTCGCCTTATAATGCAATAAATACATTTTTCAACCTACGAAATTTGCTTCACGGGCTTTCGTACAAAGCTAAGAACGGTGAAGTTCCTACCTGCGAGGAAATGCTGCGTTCAGCAGTGCCTTTGCTTAATTTTTTTGGATTTGAATAAAAATATAATACTAAATCAACTGAAAGTGGCCTTGAACCCCTATGTCCCCCGTAGAAATTCCTGTGGGTTTTTTTAAATCATACTCCACTTCCCTGAAAAAAAAAATCAACCGCACCTGTATAACAGCTTTTTAGCTAACCTGAGCCAAAGGCTCAACTTTTTGTTTTTTTTTTAATCAAGGGCCATGTCCTCTTCAAATGGGAGATACATGTTATAATGAATTAGTGAAAATTTTATTGCTTCTTTTGAAATCGTCTTCTAAAGCACTACTGGGTCAGGGAAGATGAAATTCAGGTAGAGGAATCCTCAGGTAGGGTATAAAATAAAGTTTGATCAAATCATGACCCCCAAGGGTATGGTGAGGCCATTATTGGGGGTCAAAGCTTAACATAGGAATGCATAGGGGAAATCCTTAAAATTTTTCATCTCAAGAACTACTGGGACAGGAAAGATGAAACTCATGTGACAGAATCCTCTGATAGTGTAGATCAAAATTCGTTCAAATCATTAACAAAGGGAATCTCCTTCAATTTTTTCTTCTCAAGAATCACTGCGCCAGTAAAGATGAAACTCATGTTGAGGCATCTTTTGGTGGTGTAGATTCATGTTTGTTCAAATTAAAACACCGAGGGATAAGGGCCATTATTGGGGGTCAAAGTTTAACATAGGAACACAGAGAGAAAATCTTTAGAATTTTTATTAAAAACCACTTATCTAGGAAAAATAAAACTCTTATGGAAGCATCTTCAGATAGTGTAGATTCAAGTTTGTTCAAATCATGACCCCAGGGGTAGGGTGAGACCATGATAAGGTGTCAAAGTTTAACATAGGAGTATATAGAGACCACCTTTAAAAAGCTTCTTCTCAAGACTCAGTAGGTCATGGAAAATGAAACTCCTCTGGTAGTGTAGATTCGTTTGTTCAAATTAAGACCCCTGGGTTAGGTTGGGGCCACAATGGCGGATTAAAGGGTCCACTCAAGCATTTAAACTGTTAACTACTAAACTGATTTTTTACTTTTTTCCTAGCGTCAGTACTAAGGTGAACGATGTGGCCCCTGGGCCTCTTGTTTTGAAAATTTTTTTACGTGTACATTTATATTGATAATTTCAATTAGAAAAAATTATTTTACGTGTACATTTATATAAGTAACGAGCGATATTTTCAATTAGAAGTTTAACTTCACATTAATAGAACTTCAAAATCTTCACATCTTGGAAAAAAGTTTAGTGTTTTATACCACCTTATAATTGAGTCAATGGGGATATCCATTTGCTGAACAGGTGACTGGCCTGTTTCCTGTAGCTAAATGTAAGAGACAGGCATTTGAATTAAAGGGTGTGTCACTTTTGTAAGAGACAGGCATTTGAATTTTACGCCCACACTTGAATGCATTTGAACGCAAAAAAGGTGAAAATCGGCCCAATGCGCTTTCAATCCACACTTCAACTTTGAAATCGTGGGTTCCTATACAAGATGAATTAGGAAGATTTTATAGGAATATAGAATGTACTTTCAATATAAAAAAAATATTCAATTGCCAGGGTTGTAGAACACGTGTCCAACGTTTGTCCTTTGTTGGTTTTATGATTATTAGAAATGTTAGCCATATTTGGTTCTACAGATATAAACAGCATACAATACTTGAATGAAAGAATTATGTTGCAATTTTGCAGTGTATATTTATACAAATCCGTTATACGGATATAACAAATAACGGACAAGCATTGTGTTAATTCACAGGTCCCTTGGACTTCGATATAACCGAGTTTTACTGTACAACATAGTTTGTCCGAAAACGAAAATAAACTGACCCTGAGTTAGACAATTTGGCAGTCGTGGTGGTTTGTGGATGTAATATCTAGTTTTTTCACAAGTTTATCTGGTTTTAGGGGAGTTCTGAATATTTAGCCATCATTCTCTTGGTAAAGTTTAAAACTACATGTTTTGGACTTTTGCAAAAAGCGCTGACTTTTAGAGTTGAAGGCCTACTTTTACATAACGACAATGTATGGAAGCTATTTTATGATAGCGAACGCAGCGAGCGTCGCGAAGGGACACTCGTAACTGCAAGTTCTAACGACAACGCCTGGGAGAAGAGAAAATTCGGAATACTGCACATTCATTCCTTAGAATTTTTTGCCGCAGTAATTTTGACCCACAATGCATCGCTTCGTACACAAACTCTAAAGCCACGTTCTCGCGAGACTAATGACACAAGTTAAAAGAAAAAAAATAAAATTGCCTTGATTTTTAATGTATATATATGAAAGAATTGCAAAAAAATGTAGTAAAAATTGGAAGTGAGCCCTGTTACGCTGGCATTTGGTGGATAAATGCAAACGACGTCACTACCCCCCCCCCCCCCCCCACACACACACACACACACACCATATCCACCCCACAAAATAGGATTTTCGAGTTTGGGTAAGTTTGAATGTTTCTTTTTCTTTTTTTTTGTTTGTCAACTTTTTTCAGGCACGTAAAAAAAATTCCTCTGGTTGCCCCCCTTTCAAAATCGATGCTACGTGCCTGATTTTGAAAACGACAACCACTCTGTACCCACAATTGTCGGCCTTCAGAATAATGACACAAGTTAAAAGAAAACAATAAACCTTGAAAAAATTTAAATATACCAATTAAATTGTCAGAAAAATAATCATAAACTGATTGAAAAATCCATTTTATGTCCACTTTTTTAACAACATGAAACTGCTATATAAGTGACATCATTTTTTTTTATACGCACCGAATGTCACGAGCGGTGTGATCTCGATCTATATATAAAACAGGATAGTTCTCTGAGTATGCTAACGGTGATCCGTCAACATATTATTAATAATGAGCTCAACATTTAATAAAAAAACCGGTTATTTCAATGCACATATAAATTGTCCTTGAAGAAAACGACAACCACTCTGCCCACAATTGTCGGCCTTCAAATATAAGTGCCCCTAATACCAAACCTAAGACCTTTGAAAAAAATTGAAATTACCAATTAAACCGTCAAATGTTAAAGTCAGTGCTTCTCGCAAAAATCAATTTTATGTCCACTTTTTTCGTAAGGCGGTGAAACTGCTATATAATCTCTTTTTATTGGGTGGGGGGAGGGAGAGAAAGTGAGAGTGAGAGTTTTTATATATACAAACGATATTATCGGGTATAAGGTGATCTTTTTAAAAGGTTAAAATTTTAATTTCAATATATCTTTAATTATTTTGATCCTGTTTTCTTGTTGTAGGCGGTCACGGAGTGTGGAGGACAAAGATATCAGGTGAGTATTCAAGTAAACAAAGGGAAAAAAAATCAATGAATGTATGTGTTTGTAACAGCAATGTACTTCATTTTTTAATTTTAGATGTAAATTACTTTTAGAAATATGATTAATTTATTTTTGTCAAAGAAGGGAGAGAGAAAGAGAGAGAGAAGGGTTTTTTTTTCCTGTAACATAGGTATTTATATGTGTTATTTTTTTTCTAAATATAAATTTTAAATCACTTCCTTTCCGCTTGCAAGATCTGTAGAATTTCTCGCATTTAGTTTCTTTCCTCTGCATTTAAAAGAAATGCGCAGAACAGGAAACCCTCTCTATCCTCTCCCAAAAACAAGGATTTTAGATTGTGGTGCAAAGGGGGTTTTTTTGTTTTGCAATTGTTTTGATTGTCAAATTCTGTTTTTGTAGGGCTTTTCCTCCTATAAATGTAGCTATACAGACTTGAAGTGGCCATAGTGTGATTTTATGCATGAGTGCTGGGGGTCACTGACCTGACCCCCCTTTTAAAAAATATACTGGATCCACCCCTGTTCTCATATAGTCTTATCACAAATACCAAATATTGATCAGAAGAATTTCGCTTTTAAATCATTAAAAAATAATTTATAAAAATATAGGGCATATACTGGTATAAAAAATCCCAATTAAAAATATTGATTACACACTTTCCCCACGATATCAGTTTTTTTAACTCAAAACGAAGAAATAACCTTGCTTGGAAACCCCCCTCCCACCTTTTCACTCTCTGAATAGCAGGACAAGGCGTGTATTTGAAGAAAAAAAAATTAAGAGAAAACATTTTTGCAACCCATATCCTCTTCATCCCATGAAATAGGTTCATCAGATATATGAAAGTTGATCAATAGTACGTGTGTGTAGAGGGGAGGCTCGTCAAAAAATAAACGACTATGATTACATTTGCTGAAGATTAATGTGGACCCAATTACGGAAAAAAAAGCCTGCATCTGTTATAATAGGACAAAGTGTTACATACTCTCTATATTTGAGTGCTAACAACACAGGAGTTCGCGTACCTATCAATTTCAGTAAATAAAAAAAATACGTAATACATATATCTATGACAATAACATTGTGTTATTCCTTTTCATTTTTAAAAGGCAAAGATGTATTTATTTATTATTTTTATCGGTCAGATCGCGAACCTTGCTATTTTTCTTTCTACAGAACCTTGCTTTTTTTCTTTCTACAGATCATATAAAAGTCTTAATAAATTTTGATTTATTTATAATAGCGCGTAGTACATTTTACGTAGTAATCAAGGAAAAATCATTATTAAAGATTATTCATATTGTACTGTAATATACCGCAACACAAGATAAATTAGACAAAACACATTTTCATATAAAGACTTTACATACGCGAGGATTAATTTGATAAAAACTATTGATATTAATTAATATTAATCAATGATCGATTACATTATCCAGATCAGTTCTCCATACTGAAAAATGACGAGGTGTCCGTGTTATACTGTTTTCTGTGTTCTGACTCCGGTCCTCCTGACTTCACTGACACACAGTGGCTGGACTTGCTTAATGTGATACGATTGAAAGTGTACTATAAAAGGAATCCTGTAACACGTGCGGAAGCACAACAGACTCTGGACAGACTGAAGTCACGTGATTACCTTTGGGAAGATCAGGACAAGATAACGGAAGACACAAAGGATGAGACAATGTATAGGATAGTATCAGAAGACCAAGATATACCATTCTATTACAGTAGTTATGATACAGCCAGTGTGTACCTGAGATCACAGAGATACAACAGTAAACCTGGAGAGAAGTGTGTCAGTAGTTGTGATATCTTACTGATACTCCATTTACAGATGAACGTACTGACTCACGTCATCATGGAGGACACGAGTATATATAATGAGATACACCAGATATGTAAGTAAATGTAAAGAAATGCTAGTTGTTTTACGATATGATGTTTTAATTAAATGAATGAATTTATTGAATTCATATAAATTAGACAGAGTCATTATAAATGTAAATTTAATATTTTGCTATGTTGGATATTAATGTCAGGTACATGCATAAAGAGAGGATATTTGTTTATAACTGAAAATCAAATACTAGTAATCAAGTGGTTCTTTATTCGTTTTTGTTTCAAATTATATTTCTATGAACAATTATTATAAAAGTACTTTTTCAATATTAATATACATTATTCATTTTCTTTGACAGTAAATATCCCAGACAATATACTGAACGAGGATGAGGATAAAAGAAAACAATTTCTAACGGATCTAAGAAGAGAAGGGGAGACTGTACATTACAGAGGAAGATCACATGACAGTGTAGATCACGTGACATGGCTCTGGAGATACTGGGTATACAATAGACCTGACATCGTGAGATCCTGTATAGGATTATATCCACACAATGATATTTATATCATCGACAACAAACCTTACAGAAAACCAAGTAAAAAGAAAGGTTCAATGATGTTTATTTTGATTTACAAACATGTAAACAGTAGGCTAAACCCATTACAATTTTACACAATTTAATCTTTTAGACACCCCCATTCATCCGATTGCATTTAAGTACAAGACACCAGGCAAACAACGGACATCCCGATCATTGCATAATCTCCCGCTTTTCAAGAGAGGGCAGGGGGTAACCTGACAGTCCCAATCGAGTGAAAATTTATTGTTCAAAATTGGGACGGGTAAAATAAAAATATACTAGAACAGAAAAAAAGTATGTAGGAAATACAATAATTAAGACATTAAAAAGTATGCATAGACAATATGAGAAATTATCTCAATAAAAAAATTAAAAAAACATACCATTTCCGTTGTTTCAGTCTTTTCTAACAGAACTACAGATCGCTCAATTGAAAATAAAAGCGTGTTGTTTTGTTGCTACGCGTTTCTTGTACTCAAAATGCGATGTTTATAAGTATTCCGTTTGGATATACCTTTTCAACGATTTATAAAGCAAGTTTTAGTATCATAAGGCAATATATATCATAGGCTTCACCACATAATTATTTTCATAAAATACTAAATGCTGCATAAATAATTTTTTATTATGAGGTTGATATTAGAGAAAAAATAAACAAGAAAACCCTAAAACAAAGACAAGTACATGTATATCTTGTACAGTGTATGATGATTACTTTTCTTTGTGTTTTAGGTGTACAGCTTAACAATCAACCGGGTGTCAGGTGTCTACTGTATTCTCTACTGTTAACTGAGAAATATCAGCTGAATCTCAATGAACAATCCCACAGGATCATAAGGGACAAAATCAGAGACAGATATTTTACTGATGTTACGGATGACGACTTGGTAGATTTTCCTGAAGGATTCACAGAAACACGTGACGGTGTGATAACGTTTATATCAGACGACATCCGACATGACATCATGTACGCCTTTGTTACGGAGTGTCTGTTGGAGGACAGTGATCTGGAGTTTTTCCTGACCACGGCGTCACGTGACGTGATCTCAGAATACTGCCGGTCCTGGTGGTATAAGAGGAGTGAGGGAGAGAGATGTCTGTATGTACCGATGGAGCCGGAGGAGATACACGACCTCTTTATAGACAATCTACAGCTGGACATCATCACACACTGTACCGTGTCTGACAAGTTGATTCATGACAGGATCAGTAAACGTTGTGAGTATTTATATGTATTAATATGTATTAGCATTTCCTAGATAGATATCTCTTTTTCTTAATCATGTTTAATTTTGTTCTGAATTTGGATAATATCTTTTTATTTAAAAGTACACAAAAGGTTTGCATGCCTTTAGCCATTACCCTATTTTGTTAACTTCCTAAGGAGATTATGCTTTTAAGTTGAATATCATATAAAAGCACCGATTAAAGAAGAGTTCTCTTTACAATCTTTATAAATTGTGAATATTTTTCATAGATTTTTATACAGAAAGGCTAAGTAGTGTCAAATCGTAATTTTCAAAATCCTCCTCTAGTTCTAAGTAGATTTTTCTTTCGTTTTTGTCAAATTCATTTCGACGAATAAATAATGACCCCATTTTTTTCATTAAAGCAAAGCCGCTTAATCTGAACTTGATAAGAATAATAAGCCTGTAAAGTAACGAACCTGCGCGCAGTAATGTATATTATGAATATTTCCACTGCACATTTAATTATGTGGGGAGGCCAGAGAGATTAATTTTCAATTTAAACAATTTTGTAAAGTCTTACTTTCATTCCATGGAGTAATCCTTTCTTTCAACTGTAAGGTTCGTTTGGAAGTCAATATTTTATATATGAGCTGTGGCACGCATAGTCTCAGAATTTCTCCAAACTCTCTATGATAAAAGTCTTTGATACCTTAAACTGAAATCAGGCAAAAAGTGGTTGCTATGTTTTATAGTTACCATGGCAACATGTGTTAAAGTACTAAAAAAGGCATTTTTTAACATGATTAGAGCCCCATAGTTAACATTTGCGGCAAAGCAAACAATTGGCAATGACTGTTTCTAAAAGTTGAAGGTCAGATTCTCAAATGCATGATAAACATGTTTGGTAAATCAACTATTACATGCGTTACTATGGTAACAAAGTATTCAAAAGTAAAGAAAGAAATATTCATTGAACTTTATAAAGTCATACACGAGGAAAGAAAAAGCAATTATATGATGAAATGTGACCAAATAATAGAAAAAAGATCCTTGAAACATATACCAAGAACAAAATATGATATTTCATTTTGGTTGACAATGCTTGCCAAGGTTTTTATACCACAGAGAGCCTTCAAAGTATACCCCTGTAAATTTCAATCTGATCCTATCTTTTAAAAAGCATATTTCCTCATAACTCATGATAATTTTTTGAAGATGTTGGTGTGCTCCTAGTTTTCCCATCTGAAAAATACAGTTTTTATTCTTTAAATAGAGCGTTGCTATGGAAATAAGCAGAATATATATGCTTAAAAACTTGAAAAATGTTTTCTATCTTTGGATACGTACCCTTAAATTTATATTCCCAAAACTTTTATGATTGATATTTATTAACAGCTAACCTGCCTTTTAATTTTGACTATCATCCAATCTCTAAATTGATGCAAGAAGTTTGCACACAGGGTTTAATATTAATATAAAGTTTACAAAATTAAACATTTTCCCTTCTTGGTAACCATAGCAACAGTGTTGTTTTCTTCATCAAATTTTATCAATGTATGATATTCAGCTTCAGTTCTAACAGATTAATACGATTCAAGCTAAGTCCTTTAATTTTTTTCTTGGTTATATGGCAATTTAATTCTTAATGCAGCAAAAAATAATTCACTTTTAAGCACTGGTACCTTGTTTCCATGGTAACACTGCAAAGAAGCAATTATACCCAATTTTTCTCATTGTTGTAAGGTCCTAAGGATGCATATTTGTCAGTCTTGAGTTTTTATGTTTTTCCTCAAGACAGAAACATTCACCCAAACTTAGTTACTGGTTTTGCATGGTTACACTGTGTTACCATAACAACCATAGAAGTTATTTATAGAATAATATTGATTATATTTATATACTCAAGGTCAAACATTTGCATTGTTTTTCTTAAGTCGTTGATTAAGTTTGAGCATGTAACACCTACCATTAGTGAATACGGAAAGTTTTTCAGCATATTTCAACATTTTAAATGTATTCCAAATGTATCACTGGTTACCACTTACTTAGAGATATATTCTAAACAGTTTCTTTTCAGTATAAGTGACATCAAGGTGTCATGTTTTTATGAGAATGACTTGTTTGCTTTTTCTAGGTTTTATTAAGCCACAGTCAAGATTTGAAGTGGCTGAAAATCTCGATTTTTCATACTTTTCCGGCGGTTGCCACAGCAACCGACACCCATAGCAAGGAAATTTTATTTGATATTTGTTTCTGGTGTCAAGTACTAAGCATGGGTGAAGTTTAATCAAAATAGGTGACCATGCAGGGCAACGAAGTTTAAGTGTTTTCAGAGAATGGCTAATAAATAAACTTGCATTAGCTCTAGATCGGTAAAGTTGTCAGTAACATATATCTTACCAAATGTACAAATCTCCTCGTTGTTAAAATCCATCTTATAAAAACACAGATACTAGTGAACAAGATAACATCTCCCCCTTCGAATATACACCTTTGGGTTGAAGATATTTTTACGTTTTTATTCATAAATAATTCTTCTAATACACATATACAATATATTTACACATTTAAAATGTATTCCATATAAATTGATTAAATAAGAAAAGCGCAGAATTAACGACTTATTTAAAACAATCATAAAACCGCGGGCATTATTTTTTGTGTGCACGGGGATGATCCTATTCCCACCCCATCCATTCTCACCAATCCTCAATTATCATAAATCACTGAGTTGGGTTTTAAAGATACTAAAATATTCAGTCACTTTTTGCACCTTAACTATTTTAGCTTACCCGAGCCAAAGTCTTGTGAGCTTTCTTCGATCACATTTTTTTCCAGCGCCCATGCGTCTCTCAGGCTCTCCATTCACGTCCTAAATACATGAGCAGTGAGTTAAATTGTGTGTTTTCTTTTTTTAATTTGGGTATACCTTGTATTGCGGGGTTTAAAACACACGAGTCAGTTCAAACTTAAATCAGGGAACAGGGGATGGGAATGATCAATTTAGTCACACTGGCAACAAATTACATTAAACCAATTTTTTCACGTGCGAGAAATTTTCGCGAGGTTCGTGAGAGTCTTGTCATCGCGAATATTTCTCGCCGCGAACTTGTCCTAAACGCCTTTGTTTCTATTAACAATATAACCAAAAAGGCTTGGTCGTGAAATTTTATCATCGCAAACAACTTTACAACCGGTAAATCGCGAAATAAAGGCGTCGCAAATAAACGTCGGTATACAGTAATCCATGCTCAGGTCTATTTTCAGTTTTTTTTTTTTTTTTTTTTTTTTTTTTTTAGAAATTGTTATCGGTGGAAAAAATATCTGCCACTATAATAAGTCAATATCATTTTATTAATATTGATGTGAAATCATCTTCAGAGTATTTGGTTTATTTTTCAAATCCGAATGTTAAGTTTTTTATATTTATGGCTTAATAAAGGTATGGGATCGTTTTTTTTATAGAAAAATGGAGGTGCAATGTTTAAAATACCATTTTTCTGAGATAGGATAAATTTGACTCAATGATCATCGTAAATCATTGACATATTTTGATTATTTTTTTATAAATACTGTAAAATCATATATTTTCGTTGGGTCAAATTTTCGTGGTTTGAGGAAAAAATGTTGGGTCGTGGGGATTAGATTTCGTGGATGAAGAACTTTTTAGTAGTTGTGCACATGAAAATTTACATTTCGTGGTGATTATAAATTCGTGGGTCTCTTCATACCACGAAAACAACGAAAATTAACCCCCCACGACAATTAGTGATTTCACAGAATGTAAAACTTTTTTTGTCCTTTTTTTAGTACTTTACCGATATGGTCTTAAGTAGTGCTAACATTTGTCTTTTTTTATTCTTATCATAAGTGAACATACCTGAAGAAGTGTTAAAATGGGATTTAGAAGAAAGAAAACGGTTTGTTGACAAAATGAATAAAGATACTGTCCATATGTATCGTGCCAGATGTCTCTTAGTGGGATGTACAGGGGCAGGGAAGACAACTGTACTACGTAATCTGAAGAGAAAGAAAGGAGGGGAGGCAACCGATCAACCAACAGAGTCAACTATAGGATTGGACGTTCACCAGGATCTGTTTCTTATTGGAGAATCTGAGGATGACAGTGGCAGCACTCTAATTGGTTTGTGGTTTAAGTTCATAGACATGTTATACGTTTGTAAACAAAAAGATTTTAGGGAGAGAAAGACAAAGAAAAAGAGGAGACATGTTCATCAATAAAAGGCAAAATCGGTAATGTTTCGCGAAAGCAATACAATCATGTTTGTCGAAAACATTCCTTGGAATTTTTTATTTGCTTACAATATCAGTATATAAGATTCGCAGTGTCTCTCCAGGGTCAGTAAATTAATGTAGACATGTTAAAAGCTCCAATTTTTTTCTTTTTTTGGGTGGGGGGGGGGAAGAAACATGGAGTATAAGTCGGGCAATATACCATCACAAACGACTGATTTGATAATACAGTTTGTAAAAATTATGCATTTTGATATTTTGTTAAAGTGTGTTAAAATGGGAACAAAACTTACACATTATGATTGAAATTCAAAGTGTGTTGTTTTGGAACAAATACTCAATGCACTTTGAAATAAAGTAATTCTAGTAATTCCCCTGTTAAGTTGGTATTTTTGGATTAAAGTGGGAAAGGTCGGAGGGGGGTGTCACACTAAATTGTGAAAAAAAATAAATTATCTCGTTTTATTTCTATCCCTGGTCATGAAGCAAAGGAACATATGTATAGTGAAAATAAGCAGGTATGCTTCCTCAAGAATCGTGGGTTTCATGTCCACAGGGACATGGGTTCTTGTATGAAATGTGAGGCTTTATACATGTGATTATATATCGTGAAAGTAGAGTGTACATTATTTCTAGAAAATTATCCTGTCTGCTCCTTGGTATTGGACATGTCTACAAAGTGCATAAATTTAATGAACAAGCTTAAAGAATACTATTTTGAAAAAAAAATGTTAAAACTCCAAAAACGAAAAAGAATTTCAAACGTTCCCTTTTCAGGAAATTTATGTTTCTTTTTGATTTCAATAACTTCAAACTAATACATAAAACATGGGTAAAAATAGCTGTAGAACTGTAGCTCCCTGCATCAGAAAAATTTTAACACATAAAGCAGAGAGATCTTTGCATTGTAGAAATCTTAGATTAACGCCTTTACCTTTTTTCTCTCACCGTGGGTATTATTTTCAAACATCTTATGTTTTCCCTACATTAGAAATGATTTCCGAAGATTTACCAGATTTTTTTTTTCTTTTTACACCCATTGTTTTGCCTGCATATGTTTTGAAAGATGCTCTTACGCACGATCTTCAACATGGGCGTCAGAATTGAAATTTATAACCTCTATATTCCAAAACCATAAAAAGCTTTTTTTGAATAATTGAAAGGTAAATTAAGTATCAAGAGTATTTTAGAAATTCATGCATAATTATTGTATATCATTCTTCAGGCAGGAAATCATTTAAAATACAAAAAAAAAAATTCTCGGAATAAGCGACACAAAATGTTTTGGAACTATGTATTGGTGACAATTTGAAAAAAAAAGTAGATTATTTTTGGATTTTGTGGTTAGCAGTTGTGAACATTATTTGATTTTTATCCAACCAAGCCGGAAACAAATTCATAGAACAAGCAATTCTGATATTTTCGACCTACATCAATTTTGTATTAGGTGATATAATTATAAAAAAGCAACGAAGAAACATAAATAACATCATTAATATCATTGTCATCAATATTTATGTCAAAAGGTCATGGCCCTATTATAATTCATCATAAAACTGGTTCGTTCTTTATAGATTTTAATGATGGATATAAAGAAAATACATCGAAAGTAGAAAAACACACAATACTCATAATTAAATAATATAGCAAAATCCAATACGTCTATGGTAGGTCACTGGTCAGTCATACGTATAGGAATGCTTAAAATAGAAATTCACCTGTACAAAACAAATGACTTGCACATAGCTCTCATATACATGTTCCTGAAAAACCGATAATCACGCCATTCAGAATGCAGTACGAGATATTGAGCAAAAAATAATTATGATAGATTGATAGTTCTAATAAATTTGCGACATTTGTGTACATCAAAGTGTTGGGTTTTTTTTTTCTCTCTAGACTACGAAAGTCACACAGCTCCACTTGCAGAAAACTACGAAAAACGCCTACTAAGTGTGATGGACTTTGCAGGACAGGCAGCTTATTACGCTTGTCACCAAGTCTACTTATCACGCAGAGCAATTTATCTGTTAGTCGTAGACAAGACCCAAGACTTAAACACAAAACTAAAACAAGATGACAGAAATTGTGTTCAGGGCACTCTGTTTGAGGAATGGACTGCACTAGGTGATCAATGTTGTGGATTTTAGCATTTTTATATAAATTTGATTGCATTTAAATCTCAAAAATAATCAGTCACAATATCTGATTACAGTTTCAGTAGTATTTTTATGCTAATAAAATTTAAAAAAAATGAAATCGTTATATGTTTTAGAATATTTCACCTTCTGGCTGCAGACTATTAGAACATATGGCAAGGAAGACGGTTACAAAGGTTATAAAAGAATACCTCAAATTACAGGAAGCAGTGAACACGGGAAAACATTGACACCTATCATAGTACTAGAAACGCACAGAGATTCTTACAAAGATTCAAAGGTATGCTTATATATCAGATAAACGTTAATTATCGTATCAGGGACATAAACTGAAAGAAACTGAATGTAAATAATGATGAAAAGATCACGCTCTTGAGTGTGCTGGGTATAACAGGGGTTTAGTGATATTAGAAACGCAAAATAATTTTCAAAACGGCCGAAAGTCTTAAAAATAAATAATAATTATGATGTAAAATATTGAATTGAATTTTTTTAATTAAATCGCCATTCTATATTTCTCTGAAATTTAATTACCAGAAAGATTTTGTTCTCCAAGCATGTTTTGAACAAAACATTGTAATATATTAGGAATCCTCGAACATATAAATAAAGAAATCTTTCGCAAAATAAGTTCAGGGGTTTCCAAAAGGAAATCTCATTGGGCTAATTGTACAGTTAAATAATTAATAACATGTGATTAATATTTGTATGCTATGTCTTAGATCAGTTCGCACAATTATTATTTTGTGTGCATTCTGCATGTATACAACATACAAATTTTATCTTGTGGTAGGCCCTATTATTTTTTTTTTCTTTCTTTATTATTTTTATTCATTCAAGGTAATTAATTTTTAACACGTTTTCTCTCCCAACCTTTTTATGAATGAATTCGCATAATGTTTCATAATGGATATCATTACAAACCATGATATTAAAACTACGGAACTTATTATTAGCTCACCTGGGTCGAAGGCTCAAGTGAGCTTTACTGATCAAAATTTGTCCGTTGTATGTTGTCGTCGTTGTCGTCGTCGATAATTTTTTTTTTTTATTTTCGACTTCTTCTCAAGAACCACTGAGCCAATTTCAACCAAATTTCACAAAAAGTATCCTTAAGTAAAGGGAATCCAAGTTTGTTCAAATGAAGGACCACACCGTTATTCAAGAGGAGATTATTCAGAAATAGTGAAAATTTGATGGTATGTTTTAAAAGTCTTCTTCTCAAGAACCGCTGTGCCAGGAAAGCGGAAACTTATAGGAAAGCATCCTCAGGTAGTGTAGATTCAACTTTATTCAAAACATTACCCCCTAGGTTAAGGCGAGGGCACAATGGGCGATCATTTTTTATATATAAATATATAGGAAAATTATTTTAAAATCTTTTTCTCAAGAACCACTGTTTCAGGAAGATGAAACTCATAAGGAAGCATCCTTAGGTACATGTAGAGTATATTCAAATTTGTTCAAATCATGACCTCAGGGGGTAGGGCAAGGCCACAATGGCCGTTCAAAGTTGAACATAGAAATAAATAGGACAATTATTTAAAAATCTACTTCTCAAGAATAGCAAAGGCATGAATGATCATATTTCATGGAAGCATCCTCAGGTAGTGGACATTAAATTTTGTTCAAATCATGACCCCTGGGGGTAGGGCAGGGCCATAACATGAAATCCAATTTTTATCTAGAAACATATTGAAAAAATCTTTAATAATCTTCTTTTCAATGATCAGTCCTATTCATATGGAAACATTCTCAGATAGTAAAGATTTAATTTTTTAAGTCATGACCCATGAGGGTAGAGCGGGGCTACGATGTAAGTTCAAATGTAAAGGGCAATAAAGGCACAGGTAGTCTTAGAAATGTGCAGGCATCCTTAGTTAGTGTAGATTCAAGTTTGTTCAGATCAACACGTCCCCTTTTGATGATTGGTTTGGACCACTATTAGTTTTAAACTTTTCAATAATCAACTGATTTCTGCTTTTTTTCCTAGCCACATTGCTCAGCTGAGCGACGTGGCCCATGGTACTCTTGTTTTTATTTAATTTGACTAATGTAAGTTTGGAGGCTTGTTAAAAAACTCATAAACATGTAAGAAAATAACATTTTAAACCTGACTATTTTGAAAATTGCCTTTAGCATATATTGATAAGACAACGTTTACATTGAGGCACCTGTCGATCAACACGTCTTCTTTCGACAATCATACACTGTATCATATTTAAGGGGCCCATTTTGAAAAAACTAAAATTGGTAACGGAGAAATTTATAGGATTTTGGAAAACATGCATATAAAACATACTATGAAAACATCTTTGTCATATTCAGCTACAGGTCCGATTATTGACCATAACGATTCTTCACCATTAACGTAATTCATAAATCACAAGAGTAATTATGCAAATATCCATAATGAACCTTTCTGTAGAACTAACAAATTAACATAGCATAGGTATAAATTCCAGCCATGCAATTTAACAGCTATTGCTTTTTATTCTTAATTTTAAAGGTTAATATTTTCATATTTTTTTTTTCATAAATAAAGCGTCTTTTTTAGTTGTAATTTCAAAATTATTTCTAACTCTCCTTTTGGTAGATTCTAGCTATGAATGAATTGAAAGTGATTAATGTCATTATGACGTGAGTAAACTCTCTCCGTTCGGCGAGGAAAATACCAGATATTGTGGTTATTAAATAATTTGAAAAATATTGAATATATCAAAATGTATTTTTAGCCCAAAATCAAATTTATAAAGAAATTGGTTTCTCTGACTTTTGGGGTGAATTGAATCACTCTACTATCTCTTTCCGTCTATCTTCGTTCCTCGTATGTCGTTTGTCGTCAATCGGTTGTAAACTTTTGAACATTTTCAGCTTCTTCTCTAGAACCGCAGAGCAGGTGTAAGGGTGGGCCTCTATTCTTTACTCCTATTCTTTACTCCTGGTTATTAAACAAACTAACTACGTATTTAGTAGCAACGAGTGCCAATATTCACCAATAAAAGTTCAATAAACCCTTTATCATAAGCTAAAACACTTCCTAAACATTTCCATTATTTATAATTATTATTCCAACTAAAAAATTCTAATAAATAATTTTTTTAGTATCGGTATTCAAATTAACACCTGTCCTGTAAGTGTTCGAAATTTTTAATAAACAACTTCATTTTTGTGTTAAAAAAAAACACATTTCACCTAGATGCCACTTCCTTTTTTTTCAATTTAGCTCCGAGAATTTGACCACTCGACTGTTTCTGTTTAAAACGGGGCGTCTTATATTGAACGCTCGAATTCGGAATGTTTCGGGCATACTCGTATACGTAATACATACTCAGCTTTCAATAAAACGTCAAGATATAGAACGCTAAAATTCTCTTGATTTTGGTAGTATTTTATTAGAGAGCATTTATTAGCTACATATATGTAATATGTATATATATTTATGGTGAAGAAAAGTGCATCCAGCAAAATTGTTAATATCAGGGCACCTGGGTCAGGGTTATTAGGAGAGGGTTAGATAGTCTAAAAATAACTTCTTGCTTTGAAATCTATGGTATTAATTGACCATTTATAATGAAATAAAATATATGTGAAAATTTCCAAAATTTTGATATATGTAGCCTTAAGGTCAATATTTCCTGTGGTGTGGAGTGCACATTGGTTACATGTATAAAGACAAAGTATACATGTAAATGCACTTTCTCTTTGTTACTCTGATCTATCTCTTGGTATTAAGAAACCAGAGTAAGCATGTTAAGTGTATAATAATGATGGTATCTCCTTTAAAATTGTGAATTTCATGGGCTCTGGTTTAAAACAAATCCAAAGAGGTAAATTCACGTACTCCATTAAATGGCCCTGTCAACATACCAATTAACCTACCAAGTCCTTTAGTCCTAATTCGATCATCAACATAAAGTAAAGACTAGGTGCTTTCATTTCCTATAAAAACTTTTCCTATGAGAGTCCAAGTTTGGAAATTCAGGCGTTGTCGAACTGCAATGTTTCCTGATTTTTTAAGAAAATGGGTTAAATTAGCATCTTCAACTTTTGATAAAAATATGAGCCCACCCCACGATCCAAAATTCTTTCTTGGATTAGAATCTTCTGAAATAGTTCATTCATTATATAATTCAACATTTTAGATCAGAGATTGGGGGCTATGCAAAATATTTTAAAAAGAGCTTTAATTTTTGGTCATTTTAAACGAAAGAGCTTGGGTCAGAAAGTACACAAATTCGTCTGTTTTCAAAATAGGACAATTTTGCCTCTAGATATATCTACAGACTATATATTTTTTCAAACCAACTTTCTTTTTTCAATATGTCTTTCATATTTTCCGTAAGAAGTCTTCAAAATATCATATGTATATGGCCGAATTTCTTCAATTTACGGAACGTCATAATGACGTTGTGAATTTTAACACTTCTGAGTTCCTATAAATAAAGTGGTAAATATTTATTAATTGATAAGAATTTCACAAAAATGTATTTTACAAGATATTACAGATAGTACTTTGATATTTTCTAAATAAAAGGTAACTTAATTTGAAATTATAACGTCAGGTGTAAACAAGCATAGGTACACGTACAAGTGAAAATGACAGCGTGTCCGTTCAGCACCCGTGTGTTTTTCGCTGTACACGTAAATAATTAGATTCATTGTAACGTTTCATTATTGTCATTGATAATGTTTTAAAATAATAAATCCATTAATAAATTGCATAAACTTTATGCATTTGATATTTCAAACAACCTGTATATATAAAAGCAAGTCCATGAACGTATAGCAACCCGGGGGATGTTAAATGTTAAAATAAGAATACATATAGTACTGGTCACACAATTGATTGCACCTATGGGAAAAGGGCCCCTTTTTAATAATTTTTATGCATTTTGAGTTTTTCACGGATTTTGATAAAGTAAGGTTAAAAGTTGTCAAATATGATTTTTTTGTCCTCCTTCTAATCTAAGTATGTTTTTTCTTCATTTTAATCAAAGATACTTTAACAAGTTCATAATGACGTCATGTTTTTCAACAATGTCAAACGTTTTAAGAGTGAACGTAAAATGATTTTCTTTTGTAATTTTTACTACGGTAATTAATAGTTACATACATTTTTTTTGCTGGAATTCAGCATAAAAGGATATGTCTTTGGTTACCATATATGTGAACATTAATTTTAAAAAACTATATATCTGGAACAATAATATGTTACCTCAATGCTACTGCAAAGTAAAAATTTATCTGATCGTTCTTTTTCTTCTAAATTTCATATAA